GTCCGCGCCACAACCGCCTGTGTTGTGCCGATCTGTAGCATGACAAGGGCACGTAACCTTTCATTTTGGGTAAGCCGACGCATATCAAAATTTGTTTTCTGGTCACTAAAACAATTAAACTGATGTTTCCACCCTGGAATTCAATGCCACAATGACTGTAACATTCAAAGTCAGAGTCGTGCAAATCTTGGGTTGGACCCCCATGATAATCCCAAGCATCACCTGCATTCCATGCGGTGGCTATTGGTGCGTTTGGGCGTCACATGTAACTGGAAATGTTTCTTCTGTTAGGTTCTATAGTGACTTTTTTCGTAGTCATTTGCATATTTTAGTATTATGCCCCCAAAATCAAATATCCCCTACTTTTTTTGAATAGTATAGTACTGAATCAAAGCATCAAACTAATGATTATTTTACTTATTTGTTCACATAAGTATTTGCAATATATCCTTTAGTTTTACTGTTTATTTTGGCGTTTTTTATTGCCACAAAATGTTGTTTTACGTAGTAGGTATTTGTAGTCCTATTCTCAACCCTCCTCCTTTCACAGCTTGGGCTTGGGACCGGCCACGGCGGATTTAAACAGGACAACCTTTACACAGACAACACACACAAGAGACCAATTACATAACACACGATATAATGAACACTTATGACGATAAACACACACATCGAATACGATGATAGTACTTTTTCAATCCTTTGTCATTGAAATGGATCTTGTCGGTCAAAAAATCATCCTGAAGCTTAATATTTCTGAAAAATACAAAAAAGACTTGAAACGATCATACAAAAGACGGTTAATTGCATTTCTTTGGGATTCATACACGTCTAATGTAAGACTGGGAGATTTTAAGAAATTGTTCTGCTCAACAATACTCCCCACATACACGTCTGCAGCCCGCTGCCTTAATTCTTACTACAAGAGCACACAAGCTCTGAAAAATAGCACTTGGGGACGATGAAACACAGATGTCGTTGCCACCTAAATGAATAAACACAACATCAGGACAAAAAGACAAAAGGTTAGAAACAAGAGCCTGAGACGGGTTTGTTGCCTTCATCCCCCCTTTTCCGAAAAACCTCACATCACCAGGAACACATAAATTAGAACAATAATACTTATCTAGACGAGCCACTAAACTTAAACCAATTATACCAATTTTAACCATGATTAATCTGAAAAATAATGTATGATGTACAGAGAAACATAATACTATCTAAAAGATGCATAATGTTTTTGGATATACAGGCAATTCATACATGTATTGTTACATCAGTTCAAACACAGAATCTAAATATTGATTATATGTAGCAATATTTTTCTTCTTCAAGTTCAATTTCTTACTTTTATCATTCACCCGTCTTCCTCAAACTTTCAACATTGAAAGAATACGAATTTTTGCCTGATATACCGGTAGCAATTAAATGATCAGTAGGCCCCTACATAAATCAATATTGTCAAAATACTGTAATATTAATAATTCAATAATAAAGCCAATATTTAGTTGATTAAAATCAACAGCTTGAATTTGTAATTTGTTCAAAATTTGCTCTATTTTTGTAGAAATATTTAACTTTTCAGAAAATTTTCAAATGAAATTCAAATAATATTGTTGACTGCAATTTTATCAAAATCAGGTGAAGCCATATTTTTTTTGCAAATCTGCTATACTATACCTTTACAACAAAAATAAATATAGGTAGATCTACTACGGTAGATGATGTACAAAGTGTCGTACTGAATTTTAAAAATTTGAATTCAAATAAGCTTATATTAAAAAATTTCACTCGACTAGGCCTACACAATAACATTGTAAACTTACCAACTTCAATACTTGCCTAGCTAGGCCTACCTAGTAGTACAAAACTGACAATAAAAAGATCTAGACCTAGCCTAGCCTACTAGAAGCTAAAAACAAAAAAATGTAACATGTATTTTAATTGCATTGGTCAAAATCAAACTACAAATTGGGCTTAAAAAAATTTAAAAAAGTAAAAGAAAGAAGGGAAGACCGCACCATCCAGACGTTTTTTTGTTTTTTTACTGAAGACAGACATACGTGTCATAATACTGGATGAATAGGGCTACGTCATCTCGTAACGGTTTCATCATTTTGAATGAGTCATGAATATCAATTTATGCCACACACACACACAGTCATTGTACACAATGTAAAGTGGAGAAATGAATTTCCAACATCGTTTTGCGAATAAGTTGGATTTAAACGAGTTCTGCATACTTACATTTTTGCACAATCTTCTTCTGTAAGCGTTCTCGAAAGAACTTCCGGCGTAATCGGGCCACGCCTCCTGGATTTCGTGAAGAGAATTGACACTGACCCTTACTCACATATCACGGTCGTAGCTATTTATTTATGAATATTTTAGTATAATTTTTTTTGCAGTTGGTAGAAAACATATTCGTCTTCACAAATCCAAGTGCGCGTGTAAAAAATTTATTTTCTAAACATTATTAAAAAGCAAATCTTTCCTTCAATTTAGCATATCTTGGCTTATAATTCGGTTAGAAATTTGCTGCAAGCGGAATAATAAATTTTAGGATTTCCTCTTTTTGATTGGACAGTAAATTTAGTTCTGCGGTGCATCACCTATAGCTACGAAACGACTAAAAATAGCATACAAAATTAGAAAATCGTAAAAATCTGTGTGCCATTAATTTTTACGGCAAGAAAATCTCCCGATAAGCCGTATACGCTTTTCAACGGACAATTTCTCAGCAGGTAATTAGCGTACCAAAATATAAATAACACCATTGGAAGGCTAATTCAATTCTGATTCATACCATATAAATCATTATAATTTTAAGTACAGACATCTGCTTACAAATTAGAGTTTTGTAACTTGTGTCCAGGATTTTGACGTTATCGATGAAAATTAGCCACGATGAAGTCACAGCATTCATAGCCCTATATTGAGATCTACAAATCGACAACTCCATCAGAACACTATGAAATACAATATAAAATCACTCGGTCTGCTAAAGAAGCGACCACGATACCCATAAAATCAACTGGTCTGCCTAGACAGGCGACCATGTCTAATCTGCAATAAAACACATCCCACTTTAGCTAATCAACCCTCTTATATAGGCCAACAGCACCTGCACTCCAAGATTATACAAGAGTTTGGGCAATCCTTATAGGTAGTCGAGTTTAGGCAACCCATCAATGTGGTTGAGTTTGGGAGAGCCAAACCTACTCTGAACGTTGAAAACCTGTCAAGTTACGAAATCACTACAAAACTGACCCGCATCCGTATTTATTAGCCCCTGCCTCTCTCAATACCGGTATTACATTACTGTAATCTACTACTACCATAAAAATAACTGCAATAAAGATGAAGGTACACAATATAACAATTATTAGGATAATATTTGATAGTCATATATTTCAGAATTCTACAGACTACGAATTCGAAGTAATCGAACCTTCTAAACTCGAAAGGATTTGACGGTGACCTACCTTCAGCAATGACTTTTTTTACTCGAAGTTTCTGATTTCCTAATTCAACCAACTGCCCAACAAAGTCATTTTCTTCTTTATTTTGACCTCCACTGAGATATCCAAATGCCGATTTAAAGAAATCTGCCATAACAGTAGAATCTTATCGGTATTTTAAATTTTAATCTAGTTATAGACAAATCGTGCAATATTACATTTATTTTGCTGGCGGAACACGGTCTCTGACGTCATACGGAAGTAGCGTAAAACGGTCAATCTATATTTGCGACAACAAATTTCAAAACTACCCACTGATCTAAATGGCCACAGATCACTAATGATTTCCCCATTGACTTTAATATTAATTCTCGTCTCTTAGACCGGCTCTAACTTTTTCCCAAATTTTCGTTGGGTAGAACGCTTTCTGCCACAGACGGAGCAACAAGTGGCAAACTCTTGCCCAAAAGCATGTATGAGGTTCACCATCAAAAACTTGAGATACAAAGCTGGAAGTAGAGAAAAATAAACATGCAATTTTCGGCCCTACAATTCATCCTAACCAACCTCTCAACTCTTGTATCCTTCCGCCTCAAAATCATGAATATTCACCCAAACCTGGCAGAAAATGTATTTTCAAACCCCTTTCTTCCATTCTACACCAAAAAGTCAACAAAAATCGCCATGCAAAAGGGGGAAAAAGAGAAAGGGAGAGAAAGACTAAAAATAACTTTGGCCCTTGTTTCGTGGGTGACAGCGTAGAAATATTTGGTGAGCGGTGTCCAAGACAGGAAGCCAGCTCCAACGGCACCAACAGTCCCGAAAAGTCTACCAGTAAACCAGTCCCCGCCAGTCCAACCACCAGCTTTAAAAAGAAGAAGTGAGGGAGAAGCTAGATCCCCAACAACACCAGATCTCTCAAATTCAAAATTCGAATTCATAAAACCAAGGAATCCATCAGTGGGAATCTACGAAGTCGAAAGAAGTTTCGATATTACAGAGACTAGCATCCATACAAGAAATCCAAGAGATATTCGAATTTTAAAACGTTATCAAACATAACACGCAGGGGCGTAAATGTGGGGCCAGGAAAAAAAATAGTCGGTCGCAAAATCAGTGCAGTCAGTCGCAAAATAAGAGCAATCGGTATCAAAATAAGTGCTCACTGCACACGTCACGCTACTCACGCAAAACTTTAGTATAAAATAACCTTGTCAACTTAATGTGTTTCACTCTTATTCTGTTGTGAGTATGTAGGTCTAAGAACAAAATTTCCCCCAGGGAGAAAAATAGTCGGTCTCAAAATAAGTGCAGTCACTGCAGTCGGTCTCAAAATTATGCATCGCCGTCTTAATTAATTAATGAGGTAAACAAATAATGCCAGAATAGATCCCAAATACTAGTCGGTTGCAAAATCAGTGCAGTCGGTCGTATATGGAAGCCTATTGAGGCCATTTCAGAATCTCGTCCCCTCGCCGCGAGAAGTCGAGGGCGAGAACACGAGAAGTCGAGGGCGAGGGAGCGAGAAGTCGAGGGCGAGAGAGCGAGAACGCGAGGAAAAAGGGCGAGAATACGAGGATCTCGCCTCGAGAACACGAGATTACTTTCACCTCGACTTCTCGTCTTCTCGTCCCTCGACTTCTCGCTCCCTCGTGTTCTCGCCTTTGAAAAACCTCGTGTTCTCGCGCCCTCGACTTCTCGCTCCCTCGCCCTCGACTTCTCGCTCCCTCGCGTTCTCGCCCTCGACTTCTCGCCCTCGACTTCTCGCTCCCTCGTGTTCTCGCCTTTGAAAAACCTCGACTTCTCGCTCCCTCGCTCCCTCGCCTTTGGGTCAATCTCGTCCTCTCGTGTTCTCGCTCCCTCGCTTCGTCACAATCTCGACTTCTCGTCCTCTCGTGTTCTCGCCTCGGAAGTGCAGTTTATAACGCATGTCCACTGACTACCGTATCGGCATTTGTATTCAGTCTGGTATTTTCATTCAAAGTCAAAGCCGATGGAAGCTCTAGCGATCAACAAAATTCTCAATGATTTGGGCTTAATCCATCTCTTAGATGTATTTACTGACAATTCCGTAAGTACAAAAGTAGCCTATCCTGTAGATAGATACGACAACAAGTTTTGTTTGGATTGTTAAGTTTAAATTTTGTCTCAGAATTGAATTACCCTTTTGTGTAGTCTCAATCAATATTATTATTAAGCGAAAACGCACATCTTTAGGCCCGTGACGTGTAGCCTATATTTACTTCATTTTATTTAAATGTTAGGCCTAGATATTGGATATTTTCACAGGTTACCGATACCAGTTTAAATATGTTTTTTGTTAATATACCATAGGTAAACTATTTATTAAATTCATTTCATAACCCTAAGCCTAGTCCGGGATGGGATATCGTATTCTATTTATAAATTCAATACGTGACAAATCGGTCGTTTGCTGGGTTAATTTGGCAAGGTTGCATAACTTGCACATGCTAATTCCATTGGCATTGATCATACAATTTGGTTGCTTAAAGCCCCAATAACACTCTTGTTGTAATTGAATAATATGTCCCAATTTTTATTCTGGTCAACAAAGTGTATTATTTTACAATATTCAAATAAATTTATGATACAAATTTCATCGTAACACACCTAATTTAAAAAATTGGAAAAATTCAACTACATGATTTGAAAAGGTTAACGTAGACCTTTTCAAATGTGACTTGGATTTTAAAATATTTTCGAACCCTCTGGACAAGTAAAATAGGTTGTAATGGATAATTTACACAACAGGTAGGACACATAAACATCTGGTACTTAGAATAAGACTATTAATTATTTTCTAGAGCTGCCAAGCCAGCAAGGGTGTTATTGTCCCTTTAACAGTAACAGCTAGGTCACTCGGTACAGTTAGGTGCCCTATAGATTTCCGTGTTCTGGAGGCGTAGTCCTATAATTGACCGAACGTTGCCATATTACTATTTTATAATTATTGGATGTGGATGTGATTAAATGCGGCTTCTAAATCTGACTGCAACTCTAATATTTTAATTGGATGTGAATATAATTATAATACATTATTATCATTCCGGGGAAATTTAGGTCTTGTCATTAGAACTAGGCCTATTATTAGTATTACAATAATATTTGGTTGTGAAAACTTCGTTTCTATTCGTCCACATGCCCATCTTATATTGTCATTTGAAAAACTATAACAACTAAACAAGTAGCCTATTTATAAAGTCCTATAAAACTTCCAGTAAGTCTGTATGTACATTTTTCTACTTTCTATTCTAGTAGCTGTTGATCTGTCAGTGACCAGGGTTTAAGCCACCTGTGCAGATGTCATCAAGGTCACTTTAAGATGTAAACAGCGTTAATTATAATTAGGCTTTTAATTAGGGCATGTGATTGTTGTGGAGGATTTGTGGGGTTAGGGCTAGTAGCACTAGTTCCCTAGCATCTCATGTTGAAAAACTATGATAAATATGGCCCATGATGCTTGATCACCTTTGAAAAGTTGTGTTGATGCTCAAGATCTAGAGGTTAAAGTTAATATCGAATTGACTCTAAATTTACACACAGTTTAAAGGTCATGAGATGAAGAATCCTATTGATTTTCAACATTTTCCAATAGTTACTGCCAGAGTTATGGCCCTTGATCTCTTTAAGATATCTTGTTGACGCTGTATAGACAATATTTATAAACTTAATATCAATTGACTTTTAAATTTAAAATAGCATTATGCAAGAGAAAAATCTGCTTATTACAGGTCTTTCTTTAGGCCTGAAATGTTATCTAAATAATCAATTAGACATTAATTAACATATCCAGACCATAATAAACTCTTTATGTCAAGGCTAGCCTTCGATGTTGGCGGATTAAATTCCTATATGCAGCTTAATGGCCGTTGATAATTAAATCAATCAAGTGGATAATCGAGACTATACTGTTTATATTAATGATTTGAGTAATGATGACCAAGGCTATGTGAATATTGGAAACGCTTTTTTCTCGGCTAATAGTTGATCAATTTGACTGAAATTTTCAGCAAATTACCTTTACACTATCTAGTTTTTAACTATTATAGTGAGAACTGCCATCTCTTTATCTTATCTCCCATTATGTAACTTTAAAGAGTGTTTTAGGCCACAAGACACATTAGCCTATTTCCAATAATTACTGCTAGAGTTATGGCCCTTTATCGCTTCAAAATATCTGGTTGACATTCTAGACGCTAAAGTTAATAAACATCTGATTGATTTTAGATTTATATGCACTGTTTAAATTCACGAGACACAGAAGATTATTGATTTCAACAATTACTGCCATACTGTAGCGCGTGACCTCTTTCAAAAATTTTGTAGACTCTTGTGGCTAAAGTTAATATCTGATTGACTTTAAATAGAGATTACTATCATGAGACAAAGAATCCTATTCATTTTCAAAGATTTCTGATAATTACTGCCAGATTTAAGGTGGAGTGTGGACGCTCTAGAGGCCAAAAATCAATTCATGCATTCATTCACTCTAAAGGCCAAAGTTGATATAAATTGTTTAAATCAAAACAATTGGTTTCTGATGATTTATACATCATGGGTTATTACTTGTAATCAGATTTTCATGTGTTGTAAATGTTCTCATTACTGACTAAAGAAAAAATATGCTTTGGGCGTATGGTGTATGTTTTGTTGCCTGGCAAGAGTGGCAACCTATCTTCTATTTTTTTTACAAAGGTTTTGTTAAAGTTAAAGTTCATTGGAATTTTCCCGTCTGGTTCGTAGTTCCCCCTGTCAGTGATGTAGGATGGAGGGACAATGCATAGCGGTAGTCGTTCAGATGGGATGAAAAACAGGGATCTGTATATACATTGGTGTGCACGGAAATGATCCCTTGACAGTTGGAATTTTGTAATAACATACTGCATGTCAAGCCCATCTTCATTTTGCCCGGTCGGAGCAAGACTGTAGGATGTTAAACCCCAATTTATTTTATTTCATTATAATCCGTATGTGTGGGCGTATGTTTCGTTGCCTGGCAACCTATTTTTTGATTTAAAAAGTTTATCACCATTACACCCTAATGATGTTTGAATTTTGTGAAAATCGGACCAAAACTGTCAGACAAAATGGCCGCTCTTTGTCTGCAAATTGTGTATATAAGTAATACAAAGGTTATGGATACCCTCTAGGGGTCACAATTTTGATCCGATTTTAATTAAGCTTAGACCATATCTTCATATATTAAAAAAATCTTAGTCCCTTTTGATATTTGTGTATTTCAGAGCGTTACTTTTTGGATTATGACCCCTGATTGTACCAAAATTTTTTGTTTTTTTTAGCTTATTCTCTTTTCATCCCTTGCAAAATGTGGGAGTTTCCTGCCTGGCAGCTGCTGATTATCAGATTTTAACGAAACTTAAAATATATCTTTATATCACAAAGATGTCAGTCCCTTTTGATATTTGCGCAATTCAGATCATAACTTTCTGGATTATAGCCCCTGATCGCATGGAAAATCACTTTTGTTCCAGCTTGTTCTCTAACCATCTCTTGCAAAATGTGGGCATATCGTGTCTAGCAGCCGCTGGTTTTCTTAATTAATATATGTTTATTTAACAGGTTGGGCCTCCAGAAGTTCTAACATTAACCGATTCAGAATTTAATTTCCTTGGTGTGAGTGCTATTGGGGACCGTGCTAGGTTGAGACAGAGATGTAGAACATATTTGAATGGTAAGTAGCATGTGCAAAGTCTGGGGATAGCGATAGTAGATGTTGGCAAAACCGAAATACTGTTAAAAGTATGGATTGTAGTTAACTCATGTGTACAAACAAGAAATGTCAATGACAGACGGAAGTTATCGAAAATCTTTAGCCAATTTTAACCCCCAGATTTAACTACAATCCATATTTTTTTTAAATCGAAATAAGCGCCGTTTATTTTCGATAAAGACCACTAGAGTTATGCCCCAGAGTTAGAACTTTATAATTTATATGCTGCATTTATTAACTTATTTTTATATGCCCACATATGAAATACGTTGTCACCAATGTCTGTCTGTCGGTCCGCCTGTCAATAATTGACTTGTTAATGCTATTGTGGATACAGTTTTTAACAGATTTTTTTTTCAAATTTGTTTTCTGGAATATGATAACTGCTACAGTGTTTTTTCAAATTGGGTGTGATGAATTGGGGTCATGAGAGGATGAACCCTATTTCTGCATCCTTCTGTTTCAGATGTGCTGCTGTCGAGGCAGAACTGCTGTGTAGGCGTAATTACACACTCTGCAAGGCTATGTTTATAATATTTCAGTAATATATGCAATTGTCATATATCTGCAGTTTAATTATGTCTTTTTGAAATTTTTATCCTGTAATCTGAATAACTGCTGGTAAATTTAGCTGCGCATGAGAACATGTTTGGTTAACTGCTTTTCACCCCAACTAGCATGTATGTTCTCATTGAAACTAGAACTTAACTTTAAGGAATATTGGGTATTAATTCCTTGTGTTTAGTTAAATTTCGTGGTCTAGATTTGTCTTTGAAATGGCTGCAGATCTTTCATATATAATGCATACCTCAATATGCTCAGTTTATCATTTTGAAGATTTTCAAAATCAGATACAGGTATTTTTAAAATCAAATAAGTGTTCTCACTGTACTATGAATGCTATATATGGATGACTGGCATATTGCCCTTGCTTGGCAGATTTAATCTGGCTGATTTAATCTGGTTCTTGTATGGCAAATGCATTTTCCATTCATTGGTTTTGACTTCACAAATTCAAATTTTCTAGGTCAGTGTGAATCGCCATCTTTAAAGAAATTCAAAGAGCTATCAGAAAAGAAAAAAACACAGAATAACAACAAGTTCAAGTCCAATCGTAGATTATATACTGGGTGGAAGTTATCTACAGGACAGAGTTTTAAACTAGTTCCACTATCTCAAGGAGGGGGATCTATAATTATGGATCTTCCCAAAGAGTATTCTCTTCCAGACCTTCAAAAAAAAATGATTGCAACTTTCTTCCCAGATGGTCAAGCAGTCCATAAAAACATAAAACTTTCACATTGTGAAACATTCATCGGAAATTTTGCTGGTGAACGTGTGCCATCAAGACTGTTGAATGGTGATCTTTTTTCCCTTGATGGATATTTTTCTGAGATAAAATCTAATCCTGTGAGATTATATTTGTATGCAAAAACCACAACGGTTAATCAACCACCATCACCATCAACTTCAACTACCACATTAAATCAACAAACTTCAGCTACATTAAATCAACCACCATCTCCATCAACTTCATCTACCACATTAAATCAACAACCTTCAGCTACATGTACTCAACCACCATCATCATCAACTTCATCTACCACATTAAATCAACAAACTTCAGCCACATGTACTCAACCACCATCATCATCAACTTCATCTACCACATTAAATCAACAAACTTCAGCTACTTGTACTCAACCACAACTAGCAATTAATGCTGTAAATTATGCAACAAATATCATCAATGATGACACAGATGATGAACTACCGGATATCTCATTTTATTCAGGAACACCAACTGTAAGTATATAAATAGAATAATTTATAATCAAGATGCAATTTAAAATGATGTTGAGGGTACAAAAAATACAAAAAAGACTATTGAAAATTTAGGACAAAGTTGGGCCTTTAACTCTATTCAGTTGAGCCCTCACTCACCAAAGGACCTTGGCCAATATTTTAAAGTCCATTAATCATAGAATGGCTACCGATTTATTTTGAAGAATAAGACGCAACCACCTTCAGTCTGCTCCAGCAATCAGACTGATATCAAATCCCAAAGTAAAAGTTAAATTTGTCAGAAATACTCAATTTTTTAGCCCTCTTTTCAGCCCACCCAATGATCTTTCTTTATTATTTGAAATTGGCACAGCAGTCTTCATTATTGTGTGTACGTGTATGCCATCTTATGAAATAAGCGATCTTTTTACTTGCAGATAACCTTCAAGAAAAGTAAAAAGTAAGTAAATTGTCTTTAATAAATGATACTTTTGTTGGGCATATGCTCCATATTTTGAAATGATCCTCACAAAACTTTTAGGCTAGATTAAAACACTCACCCAGAAGGGGACAAATTTATATCATCATATTCATAGGCATATCTTTAATTCAGGCTTTAGATAAGGCCTGGTAAACCAGAGTCAATTGGTTTTAAAGGGTAAATGACTCTCATCAGCAAAGATTTTGCCCATTTGATTAGATTAATGCTTTCTTCACATGCATGGAAGTGGTGTGACTGTAGTTGATTCATTCTGGTATGAACTGATAATTTTTATGTGATGTGTTCGTAATGACAGACTGTTCTTTATGCAATTGTTATGAGCATAAGGTATACCGGTAGATCAAATTTCATTTGAGTGATTTAACAAGCATGTATTCTAGAGTTATCGTCCAAGTCTAATATCCAGTTTACCAAATGCATATATTTAGATTTATGCCTTACTCTTAAGCACTGATATCTAGGCCAATAAAGGCCAGAAAAAATTTAGACGGGCACAATATATCAGGTAGTTAAAACTATCTTAATTTTATTTTCAGAGCTGAGAGCTTGGAAGAGATTCTAGTTCGCTTGAATAGTCAGATAAAAAATGAGAAAAACATCATCAATGTAAGCCGAGGTGATGTTTTGTCTGGAACAAGGAGAGCGTTTTCCAGAAAAACCTTCAGGCCCGAATTCGGTTTAAGCGTCAAATTTTCAGGGGAAAATGGTATCGATAATATCCAGAGAACTTTTACAACTTCTAATGAGCTCTATAAAAGATTCACAAGTGTTTCAAGGGTCAGAGTGTAAAATGCTCTGTCCTGATATCCCCAGTAAGTATCAAATGCACAGGTGAATCATACTAATAAAATCAGCATTGTCAACTGAAATCAACCTTTGTGACCATGCTTCCACTTGCTCCCAAGTAACCAGTCAGACTTACTGACATTATCTTGTTATATGCTCACATTTTAGTATGGTTATATATTGTCATTATTCCGGTTTGTCATAATATCTTGTTAACACCATGGAGGTTTTTAGTTTTGATTATATCTGAGCCAATTTGGTTGCCTATTCGATTGAAGGGAAAAATGCTATTTTACGGATATCTTCAAGTTATTTCCTTTTGCTATATATATCTTGTGGTCTTAGTGGCTTTATAGTCTGGGGTTTTAATGTTCTATTGTTCGGCGCTGAACTGAACTAATGAAGATGGGAATACGCTTACTGACTTATATACGCATGCCAATGTTGTCATCAGACATTGGTTTTCCATCCGATCCGAACAACTAGACAGCTGTCCTTGTCGGGCCCTCGGTCCGGCATCACTGACAAGGGGGAACCACACCGGTAAATCTGGATGCACTTTCTCAACCAATGCAGGGATCGAACACCTGAGCTCCAGACTAGCGAGCCAGCGTCTTACCCACTGGAGGCTCAGTGCGGGGATATCTATTAGCTTAACTGCACGATTTAAAGGTCACCAGAAAAGGCTTCATAATATCCTTACTGACTGCCTAAATATATTCTTTAGTGCCGTGGGATTGCGTCAGGCAAAAAAATTGTTTTAATACATAACATGCGTCACGAGCATTCACAAATGTTTACCTGTGTAGAAATAAAATACGCAGTTATCTGCCCTTTGGTAATTCAAACAATCTGATTGGTCAATAGGTTATTGCGTCATATTAGTCCTCTTTAATGTCAACAAATGATCAAACAGACGTCAATATCGGTCGTATAATTTCTTTACGATGGCAGACATTGAGGAACTAGAATTTTTTGTCCAGCCTTACCAGTTCGAACCACCCGCGAGACGTGATCAATTTAACAACAATGATTCAAGCGAGAACGATTCGTCCAGCAGTAGCGATGCCTCTGAAGCGGAAGGTCAACTGCACGATGTAACGTATTGGTTAGTACTAGTACCATTCTACTTTTTTATTATCACTATCACTATTATATTAGGCTCTTAGATTCTATATTAATAATTTATCATATTCATTTGAAATACATACACCCAAATAAACATGCTTCGTCGATGTATCTTCCAGACGATAGTAGAACGATTGGCAAACAATTTGAAGGCCTAGGCTATATATATATAGGAGAGCTACCGCCAATACAGTAGGGCCTATCGGTCGTTTTTTTTAAAGATGTTATGCCCAAGGCCAAGGGCCTATTTAATGTAGGATCTGTATGATCCAAATTAGTACCGTTGTCAGAATATAATTTAGCTTTACAAAATGATCTATTGATTACATGTAAATTGTAATCAAGGAACAATTTTAATAGTGCTGATCACGTAGATAACAACATCTAATGATCTATATAATATAGAAAAGCCCAGGGCCTACTACAGTACTAATTACTAAAAATATTTTTTTTAAACTTTTGTCCAGGTGCAGTTGTGGACATTGCCTACAAATGCAAGTTCCACGTGACAGGAAGTGTTGTAAAGATTGTCTGCAGTGTGTCGAGAAAATGGGGCAACGTAGTTGCATCTGTCAACATGAAGGTTTTCTTGCAAAGTGTTTAAATCCCCATGTACTAGAGGTCTCTTTTTATGAGTACATTGAACAGCAAGGGCCAGTTGGTGATGATGAACCTATACATGAGTATGTTTTGGTTGTTTTTTTTTAACATATTCATATTCAGTCATTTCAGGTTTTGGCCATTTGGGGTCAATTTCTCCATTTAGACTCTAAATGAGTCAATTTAACTATTGCTACATCTTATTATGCCAGTAGGATTGCAATACACAAATATTCAGTAAATACACTGCCACACACATGGGAGTACTTTATTACTAGCATAAAAATATCTTTCTTAAACATTTCAATAATTTAACAACATACACAATTGATTATTGAACTGCTCACATACAATGCTTTTAGTTAATGGTACCCAATTTATTTATTTCAGGGTCTATAGATATATAGCCTACAGAAGGTTTACAAGATGGATATGGCATATCCTTGGTAAAAAGAACAGAAAGGTCATTCCATCCTGTGTTGTAAATAAAATTCGTGAAACTTTTCCTTCCAGTTCTGAAACTTACACAGGATTTAAGTATCCTGATGACTATTAAAAATAAGAAAAAAAAACTTTCAAAGTATTTTGTTTGATTTTTTATTAAATGGAAGAGTAATGAAAATGTAATTAATTTCATTCCAAAAATCATGTAATGGTTAATTACTTTTCAATTACATTTTATAGCACATATAAATATTTCCAATATAAAAAGCCTCAAATTTAATAGCACTAAAGAAGTAAATTAAGTGTATCGGACACAAATCCAATTCATTATAATTTATAAAATAAAGATTTAAATCAGTTTTAACAAATTATAATAAAACTAAGAAGGCATTATTAGTATTACTTTTTATTTACGACACTTTTTTTTAGACATGTCACCTAATAAGTGGATTTCTGAAAAGATGTATATTGTAATCAATGATTAGTGCTAATTTGCAGGCAATCAATCAATCAGTTAGATTAAAAGACAATTTAGTACTACTTGATAATTTATGTGAAATTGTATTAGACGAACATAAGTGCACCAGAGGACATGAGCTATCGTTGATAAATACATAATGTTTTATTTGTATTCTCCATTGCCAGTATATTAGCTATGGTATGAGTTTAATGGTATTAAATTGTTTAGGAAATATTGTGAGAATAACAGGAAAAGGGGTCCAAAGCCAAGGATAGATTCTGTGTCTAAATACACGTGATCGGAATGTTATCATAACTTGCTCCTGTGTCTTGATTGGCTTTCCTTACTTTCCTCCCATCCTCAAAGTCAAAGTTAGAAAATATGTCTTGGAGAACCTGCCAAAAAAAGAAATTAAGCAATATTACAACCTAATAAAAATATTTGTTGAAATTATTCAGAGATTTACACAGCTATAATGTGATATTTTTTTTTCTAATTCCAGTCTTACCTTAAATTTCATAGTAGGCCCTACTAGTAGCCTACCCGAACGAGCAAATATTTAATTTTTAAGCTTCCATCAAGATTACAAAAATATAAAACCGCACTAGGCGACACTGTTGGGTTGGTTTCATATTGGCATTATTTAATTAATATTATTACTTTGGAGATCGACTTGACTTTATTGTGGGTAGGCCTAAATACAAATAAAACAATTTTCGAATTTACCTTATTTGACTAGTCACACCCAAGGAGTTCAAAATAGCTTGTTTACGGTATGCATAATTTATAATCCGAGGCGAGATTCGATTTCGAAAATCTCAATCGATCAATCGACGAGATTGACTCCTGCCATGGGTACTCATTCATAGGCCAATATTTATGATTGCTTGTCAGTGCTATAATTTCACTTTTAATAGTTAACTTTTTATTTTAATAATAAAAAAACGAACAATAGTTTATACAGTACTAGGCCTAAAGGACTAATGAAATGAGTAATTGTTATCATTCTATAAATAGAAATTAAGTCACGCCCACTCTATTTATAGCGAGATGATGTTATATAAATATAGGCCTCGTGCGTAAAAAATGTCAACCTACCCTTTGTCTTTCTCTCTTTCTAAAACCACCTCTCGGTGTATCAGGTCCAAGTAACGGCTCTACTCCCAGTGATAATGTCGGGAAACTATCTTTTTTTAGGCGTGAGCCTTTTGCAGTGAAATTAATAGCCTGGAGTAACAACGGGTCTTTCGTGAAACTGTCAGAACTGAAGTGCTTTGAGCAGACGTGAGAATGCTTAGATGGCTCCCAAAGCTTTTTAGAATTAGGCGTATGTGACTGTGAGCGTCTTATCTTAACTATCCATGTGTGGTAGAGATCTTTTTCCTTGTCTTTGTTAGGAAATTTGAAAAAACTTTCTCCTAACCCAGTTTTACTGTTGCAATTCACAACAACACAGTGAACCATCTCCAATGTAAACAACGGGATACCGGAACCGGTCAAATGAGCAGAAGGACTAAAATGACGTCACAGCTTTTTTATTCGCGGAAAACTACGACGACTCACGGAGAACGGCGGAAATCGCTAACGTTGAAATTTACCTGTGGCAGGTAATGTTGACATTCGGGATCGTGTTATACTTATGGAAATGATATTTTGACATAATTACTTGCATTATTTAAACGATTTATGAAGCCTTTTCCGGTGACCTTTAAATTATTTTTCAGGTGAAGAAAGAGATGATTACAGACTGTTTGGAAAAATCATATCATATTCAGTAATTCACCGTGGTAAGTATTTTGATATTCATTCCTTTTAACATTAAGTATATAGTGATGCAAGTAGCTGCAGTTACAATTGAATTTCTGGATGTTATCAACTTGGATGTCTGTAGTATGTCTGGGCATAAAAATGTCATTAGACACCACTTAAGATGAATTTTGAACAATAATCTATCGCTTTATCTACATTTAAGCCTAGAGAGATTTTGAAATTAACAAACAGCATAGGTATCTGCAGTTATTGTTGAACTTTTGAAAGCAATATTGTATCATTGTAGTAATACAGTGTCATTTCAAGTATATATAGATATTTAACTGATATTATGCATATACCAGCTACCTATATTCTGTCTTGATATTTATCCTTATCATACAAACAAATTTCTGAGTGATTTTCCTTCCAGATTGATGTAAATTAAAACTAAAAACCTAAAACAAAATTATTAAATTTCTTTTATTATGTTTCTACAGATTTAATCAATCTGTTTTATTTAGCTTACTTTATTAGACTGCAGATGTTTGCAACCTTTAATTGGTGTTTTAATTTTAAACAACCTTTAAAGATACATTATATAAGAGCTAAATCTGCCTAATGTGGGTTTTTATTTAGGCCTCAAATGTTATAAAAACTATTATTTAGATATTTACTTATTACTTGACAAGCCTATAATCAACTCTCCAGCAGATGTAAATGGATGCAATACGATTGCCATTTAATGATTTAATTCAAACGTGGAGACGTGAGAGAGTCTTGATAAACAAGACAAGTAATGTTGCAGTGATAATAACAAATTTGTCAGAACTTCAAACAGTGACAACATCTCTAAGAATAACTTAATTTGAGGAAATTTTCAATATATTACTTTTCAAATATTTATTTTTGAACTATTATAGCAGAAGCCAGCTCTTTATCTGATTCTTACATAATTGATCTGGAGCAGAAAAGAAGGATTTTAAACTCCATTTCATAATTTATATTTAAGGATCAAAGATAAATTGACTCATTTAATCTTAACATAATTGTTTCTATTTTTTCAATGTAAAGGTCCAGTGCCAAGATTCTTTTCTGGAATCCTTTATGATCTGATAGCTTTTGGCTCTTGTGAACCAAAATTGGATGACATAGTAGATTATCAAATCAGAGAACAAATTAAAGAGGTATTTCGAATGCTAGTGTATTAGATATAGATTTGTTCAGTAGTAAAATTCAAATGCAGGATCTTTTCTGTTTGTCAAAGTGATTGTATCATACGGTGGGTGCCGAATCTGGTTCCAATTTAATTGTATTATAAAATGCATATAAAAGCTGGTGTTTTGTTGTATGATTATATTGATGAATATTTTTTTTTTTTTCGTTTTTTAACAGTTGTCAAGGCAGATGATGTAATAATGTTACAAGAGGCTGCTCAGCCTCTTATTGGCCATATAGACTTTTTAGGAGCTATACCTCTTATATTCGATGTAAAAAATAAAGAAAGTCTAGTCACATTATTAACACGGTATTTTGTTGTGGACAGGGTAAAAGGAGTACTGAATCAGTAAGTGAATGTTTTTTGATCACTGTTTATCTGAAAAATTGGTGTTCCTGGACGTAGAAAAGCTACAAGTTTTTAATGGGGAGATAAAAAAAAATGATGTCCTCCATAAGTCAATGCATGTTAATCCATAGGCAATCAGGAAAAAAAGTAGAAGGAAATGCGGTTTGCCTGAGAAATTTGTTAAACTTCCACATTGAATGACTTATTATAGAAATATGAACATATTTCATCAATAAATATCCCTAAACAACTAATTTTAACTTTATTTTAGGTTCTGTGAAGGGATGGATTCTTTAGGTTTGAGAAAGGAAATAATTAAAAATCCAGAAGTCATGAGAGAACTTTTTGTTTTCTCGTATGAAAAATTGTTGTCCATTAATATTGATCACCTGTTTACTCCGGTTTTTAGCGAAAACAGCTTTTCGCTTGAACAGGAATTAAACAGCCATGCTCATTGGAGAGATTTTCTTCTGGATCTTGAAGGTGATCATCCTCAAGTATATTTTTCTGTTTTTCATTGTCTATTAGTTCTGTCCCACCTTTATCATGTTAGATTAGTGAACCACACAACAGTACAGTGTAAATTTTTAATAATACCATGGGACAAATGGTATGGTTGCCCATGTCCATCTGACAGTCCATAGGTATTTCTTGTCTCCAAATATTGTTCCATTGCGAGCAAAGATATTAACTTTTAAAGGTTGGATAGGATATTTGCATTATTTGCAACCACCGTTCTTATCTACTTTTAAGTAAAATATATAGATATCCAATGGCATCCAGAGTTGATAATGGCCTGGATAATTTAGATAAGATTTCAGGCCCAAAAAAAGATCTGCAAAAGGCAGATTTAGCGCTTTCATAATGTACTTTTAATTTCTTGACAACTGCAGGCTTACAATAGATGTGGATGAAACTCAATTTTTATTTATCCTCTTAAATTTCAGAAACAGATGAACTGGGTAGTTTGTTATCTTTTGTGACTGGTTTAAAGGACATACCTCCACTGGGATTCAACCCACCACTAAAGCTACTGTTTAGACACCCATCTTTTGAATGGGACATTGCCCCGTTTGCAAATACTTGTGCTAATACCCTTAACATTCCAGTGTTAAAAGATTATGATGCATTCAAAACTGCAATGGCCATGTCTTTAAGAATTGGCAATATTTTTACTGACGCTTAAAATATTAACTTGCCTTTTTCTGTTTTACCCAGTCAGTTTGAAAGTTTTTAAGATAGTTATATTTAAAAACACTTTTTGGTCATACAACGTAGTCTGTTTTATCCAATCAATTTGATAGTTTTTAAGATAGTTAATTTAAAATTGCCCTTTTTGTGATACAACTTAAATCTGTTTTATCCAATCAGTTTGATAGTTCTTAAGATAGTTATATTTAAAAACGCTTTTTTGTGATACAACTTAGTCTGTTTTATCCAATCAATTTGATAATTTTTAAGATAGTTATATTTAAAAACACTTTTTTGTGATACAACTTAGTCTGTTTTATCCAATCAATTTGATAGTTTTTAAGATAGTTAAATTTAAAGTATTGCTTATGTTTGTTTGTGTAATAATTTCTTATTTACCTTTGGGGGTAACCCGTTTTAAATTTATTTCTTTGTGATATATTTTATGTTCTTTGATTCAGTTTTTATTTATTTCTGTGTAAAGCTGCAACAATCTAAGAAAATATGCAATGTATAAATTTTGCATTATCAATTTTTGCAGTCTGAGTTATTTATAATTTTTAACATAAAATTTTATGTTAAAAGATGTATAGTAGTAATGAAGCAGTATTTTTTACACCTGCAAACAGATAAAGTCCGACAAATATTACCTTTATATTTTTTTATCGTTTACCTATTAAATATGCTCTTTGTAACTTAATTTCTTTGTTGTCAGAATTGCAGTACCGGTATCAGTAAAACACAAACTACTTCCCTTTGCAAGACTTTTTGTACCAAATCCTATGCCTGAACATTTTGTACATGTAAATTTCCTACAAGAAACTGGTTTTCTATTATTTGAAAAGGAGAATTAAATTGTTTTAATTTCATAGGGAATTTCTTATTTGACAATGGGTAGAAATAATGATTAATATACAGGCTTTTGCATATAAAGTTAATTTGAATGTCTTCATTGCAATCACAACTAACCTTTTTAAGATTAAAATTCTTACATTAATTTTTATACTCCCACATTGAAATGTGGTTGTAAATTTTGTCGTTACCTTGGTTAGCTCTGTTAATATCTGATTGACTTAAGATTTATACACAGTGTTTAAGGTCATCAGACTGATTTTCAACCATTTCTAATATTTACTGCCACAGTCATGGCCTTTAATCACTTTGAAAAACATTGCAGATGCTCTTGAGGCTAAAGTCAATATCCGATTCACATTAAATTTATTAAGTGTTTAAGGTCATGAATGATTTTCGATGTTTACTGCCACAGTCATGGCCTATGATTACTTTGAAAATTCTTGTGGATGCTCTAGTGGCTAAAGTTAATATCCAATTGACTTTAAATTTATACACAGTGTTTAAGGTCATCAGTTAAAGATGCATCAACAGAACACAATTTTTATGGGAAACAATCACCGGTTTTATTCTAAAAGCACCACGTTTCGATAAGAGGATAGTTGTCGAAACATCAAATAAAACCAGTGATTGTTCCCCATAAAAATTTTGTTCTGTTAATTTGTTTCCCAATCAATAAATGCCACTTAAAGATTAAGTTAAAGACACTTTTTGATTTTCAACAATTTCTGATAATTACTGTCAACATTATGGCCCTTGATCACTTTTAAAATCCTGTGGATGCTCCGACCAAAGTTATCATCTGATTTGATATTATATTCACTAAAACAGAGTTGAAGGTTATGAGATCTTATTGATTTTCAATGATTTTTGATGAACTTAAACAGCTAAATCCATGATATTAAATGTTTTGTATATTAAACTTTAGCATGAGCCAAACAAATTCTAATGATTTTCTGTTAATTACTTAATGAGTTGTTACTCTTAATCCGATTTATGTGCATTATAAATGTTTCATTAACGACAAAAAAAAAATATGCAACTGTCCAGTCGATTTAGCTGCTGTGGGGGATATTTTTGTTGAGAGGCAACCTATCCTTAAATATGGATTAGTGTACTGCCATGTGTTTTATTATTGTTGATGAATATGTTTAATGATGTTGCCTTAATTAGGTTCCATATTAAATTGGTTAAGTTTGATGATCAACTGTTCCATGTAAATTTTGGGTTAAACATGATTTTGTACCTTTAGGCATAGTTAATGTCATAATTTTAATTTCTTAAAAAATCCTTTTATTAAGAAACTGTTATTGTATCTTGTTAAGTTATTAAATATTCATAAATTTTTTCTGTGTATGTACTGACTACATCCCATAAAGACTAGGCCTTCTACCATTTTAAGATTCTAGATTTATTGCTGTTTTTAAAATGTAGGCTAGATACAGGATTTTTGAAAGGGACGGGATAGGGTGGTCAAAGGAAAGTCTTGAAGATTTTTCATTGATGGGTAGAAACCGCTTACACATTTGACTAAAAAACAACAGTGTAAGACAAATATGTATTTAATACATCTACAAGATCATTCCATGTCCGGATGGGCAATAACTAAAACCCTTTCACCCTTCCCCTATTTACGAAGTCCCACTGTTCAGACATACTGTCATGATTTTTTTGGGAGGGTTACATATTACAGGATCCTAGACCTGGTTAAATTAATAAGTAAGATTGTATCTAATATTGAAATTTGAGGCCAATAGCTTAATTGCACCAGGTATCATGAAGGTGCTGACAATACAGTACCACCACCCCCACCACCTCACTGGTGCTCCTTAACTGTTTAGCTTATGCCTTCGATGGATTACAGTGCTTATCCCGAGAGGTGATTGTGACAAATAGAAGAGAAAATAACATACTTTGCATTTCAGGCCTATATCTGTTAATAAGGCCTTATGGGTAAAGCCTTTCCCAGCAACTAATCAAACACCATTTAGGGTATTCTGGCAAAACCTTATAGAGAGAGAGAGAAATGGGGTTTAACGTCCACTTGACACAAACTAGGTCTTTTCGGGACTAACATATGGTTTAATTGTATTTCCATAATTCGCTTGCGCGTAGGGGTCTTTAGCAGTGGGAGAAAACCCATGAGGTTGGACAGACGACCCTGCTCCTTGTCACGTACAACTGGGGATTTGAAACCATGCCAGTTGACTCAATAGCAGGCTGAACAATACAGTGTGCACGCTAACCATTCGACCATCCAACCCCCCCAAAACCTTAGTTCAGGCTGATGAATAATAGGTTAATATACACCCTTGGCCTTCAATAAAAGCTTTGTCTTCCAAACTGTTTGACCAGCGGTTGCCAGGCAAGATACACCCACATTTTGCAAGAGATGGACAGATAACAAGCTAATATAAGATGTGTTTTAAGGAATATCAAGAGCCATAATCGGGCATGTTACGATTCGATACGCTCAAGTATCAATATGAAAGCATATCTATAGGAAATAAAATTAAGTTTCACTGAAATTGGATCGGATAAAAAGAAAATTGTGACATCTACAGGGTCATAACCTTATTGCGTACGGGGAGTGGCTAGTTTGTCAAGCAGTTTCAGTCCGATTTTTATGAAATTCAAAATCAGCTGACATTATTGTGTAACGGTGATAAATTTAAACATTTATTCCAAATCAGGCAAAAAGTCTATCCTCTAGATGAACAACAATTGGCCAACACGGATTTTCAGACATTCAGGGGTCATAATCCAGGAAATTACCATTCCGATATATCAAAAGGAACCAAGATCTATAGGATAAAAACATATTTTTATTTTCATCAAAATTTGATAAAAAAAATTGTGACCTCCAGATGATTAACAACCATGGTATTACATAACCTACTTTTACACTATCAGTCCAATTTTTATGAAATTCGAGCTCAACCATCATAACTATGTAACAGTGAAATATACAGTGGAACGGTTTTGTAAATCGGATAATAATTGTGACCTCTAGAGGGACCACATCGAAAGAAATCAAGATCTTTGGGTTATATTCTATAACCATACATTTCAAGTTTCATCAAAATCATATAAAAATTGTACCCTCCAGAGGGTCCACAAACACTGTATGTTTAATTAGTCACTTCTCATTTTTAGCCAACTATATAATTCTAATGCCTCTTCTGGATCATTTTGCATCTCTTTTCCGGCCTGCACTAACAATTCTGAGCATACATTTTCAAATTCTCTTAAACAACCGTTGGGTCCATAAAATTTACAAAACTGACTAAAACTATCAAGATCTTCAACAGCAACTTCGGTCTTGTAATCAACTGTATCTGAATATTAAAATGAAAAAAAAAATCACACAAAAATATCTGATATATGACATAAAAGCAGCTTAGTTTTCATTTAATGATCAAATAATGACCAAATAGTTTCTACCCCCATATGGTGAAAATAATTTCTCATATTAAATCTTGTGATTGTCGCCTTACCAAACAATTGTGGAGTAAAATATAACAAGTCTGGTTTGCCTGCAGGACACTCTGCCCCTTTAGTTGGTCTCATCTTATGTTGATTCCAGTCTTTACGGATTTGGTCTAAGTCTTTTTGAATGAGATTTGTGAAGCAAAACCTGAAACATTCTCTGTAAGACATAATGATACCAATACTGCATTATCAATATGAAAACTAATATGTATGCTTGTTAACTTTGCTGTAAACATATTATATTATATTAGTATTAGTTAATTCAAGCATATCAAAAAAGGTAAACAATACCAATACCTATAGAATGTATTACATTGTAGGGACCTTAATAATGGAGGCTCTATCATAAATATATGCCAAGTAGCCTTTCTTTATAACTTGGCACCTAAGTTTGACTACCGATAATCTAACTATAAACATTACATAAACAAGGCCCCAAGAAGTCATCTAAATGAATGAATGAATGAATGAATGGGTGTCACTTAAATACTACCCCTTAAGAACAATTAAAAATTATCCCTTAAGAACAATTAAAAGTTAAGTCAAGAATATAATTATTCTGTATTGCTTATTGTTACCTCAAGTAACCTCTAGTATATTAGTGGAAAGTTTGTAGATTTAATTATAGATAGTGACAATGGGTAGGCAAGAAGACATTCATAATTTCGCTCATAATAAAGTAATTTGACTGACATTTTCGATATATTCATTTTGCATTATCTATTTTTAAACTATTATAGACAGGCGAGATCTTTATCTAAATCTTACATATTGCATATTTAAATTTCATTCAGATTCAATTTAAAGTTTATTTCGATACAGTATTTTGGGGTAACAAAACAACCCTTTTGTATAAAATTGTCAATATTCATCATCCAATATCATATCAAAATAACCACACATATCATCACTTGCTAGAGTGGTGGTCACTATGATGACAACACATGTCCACATAACAGTATATGGATCTAAAAATGTTGAAATGATGTATACACACTTGTTTTGGCCATTTTCGGTATTAATCTCTCCTGAAGCTTCTAAATCCTTAAATAAATCCATCCAGAACTGACAACCACCCTGTTTTGCAGACCGCCAGAATCTTTCTATCCGCTACAAGAGACGATCATTGGTATATACTAAACATGTAACAACTTCAACAAAGATAAATTGCTAGACAACGAAACATACACCCACAGCATACAATTCACCCGAGCAGTCCACAGAGGGTGTCACATTTATTTATTCTTTCAAAGGTAATGATAGCATTCACAAGACACTACTAGTTCAGTGGTTAAAGGGGGAGGGGGAATCGTCACCCGACCTGTGAATTTATGAGACCGAGTTTTTCTCAACAAGTTTTTTGCGTAGATCCGAATTTGTGGTGTGGCCCCATTTTTTGCGGTCAGATTTTGCATTTTAAGATTCAGACATAGCATCGCAACATTTCAAAACTATTTCTGATCGTATTACTTATATAGTAATTGCAGGGGGATTACACCACACATAATTTACATAAAAACAAATATATGGACAAGACATCATACCCAGAAACCACAATTAAACAAACAATTCAAAAAGAGTGAATGGATTCGATGTCAATTTTGACATTTTTGTAGGCGTGGCAGATTGGGCAGATTAGGGATGTACCCCACTGAAACCAGTCTTCGAAGTGATAAATGGCAATAACTCTGAAAGTAATTATCAGCCACTTCATCTCATGTACATAAATACTATAGTCAATCGGTTAATCACTTACGCTTGTAAAGAGTCCACAAGAGGTTCAGATTGATTAAGGGTGATCAATGATCGTAAATTTCAAGAGAATCGGATAACAACTTTAGCAACCACAAAATTTTAAAAAGTGACCATGGGTCATAACTCTAGAGCATTTACACGCATATGTGGATGCCAGACTGTCTGAGGAAAGGCGGACAGACAAAGGGCGAATAAAAGGGACTAAATTGAAAATGTATTTGGTATTCTAAAGTTTGAATTTTTTTAATAAAAGAAAATTACCTGATTTGCCAGTGATGGTCCATACAAAAAGCTTTTTTCACCAGCCATGTCATCTCCATGATACCATCTTAGTGACTTCTGGATATTCTCAATTATTTTGTTCTCTGTGCCTTTATCGGCTCTAATACATCGAGGAACTCCTATAAGTTTAAAATGGGTATTATTATATGGGATTATAATAAATAGATGGGACATATTAATTAATTGCATTTACTTACATCGGTGCATACATTGTTTCTTGTGTGTGTGTGCTTTCATAAAGCATCGTGCAAGGCGGGGGGCAATATAATCATATGCGATTAACAACCTACGATTATGTACGCATCATTTTGCCATTGAAAGGGACAGATCTCTTAAGATACCACGTGGTTCGCCCTCGTCAATAATACCATACGAAAAAACTGGAATGCTACAATATTTGGGAACACAATAACAACGGCGTAGTACAATAGCCACAAGTGTCGCATTCTATGCCTCCTTCTCTCTCTGTATCGATGCACATTTCAATGTTTCGTGAGAAATTTCACATTATGCTTCTACTCTCACCTTCAATTCCAAGCAAATATTCTAAAAAATAGCCTGCAACCACCTCTGGATCATTGTTGGTTCTACCAACACGAAGCCATAAAATTCGTCTAGAATATCTGAAAATAGTTAATCTTAATCTGTAATACAACTTATTGTGATATGCTGAGCTGTTAACAATATTTTCAATCTCTCAGAAACTGAAAACAGGCAAAATAAACTTATTAGTGAAGCTGTAAGGTTCATTATTTCAAGTTGACATTATTCTCTTTTTGGTAAAGCTTTATAAAACTTGTTTTATTATTGAGTAGTC